TCAAAATGCCATCCATTCTTTTCAAAGAAATGGAACAAGTAATCCTAAACTTTATATCGAACCTGAAAATACCTCCAAAAAGCCAGAGGAATGTTGAAAAAGAAAGCCAAAGTTGGTGGCACCATAATTCCAGACTTCAAGCTCTATTACAAAGCTGTAATCATCAAGACAGTATGGTACTGGCATAAAAACAGACACACAGATCAATGGAACAGAATAGAGAGCCCAGAAATAGACCCTCAACTCTATGGTCAACTAATCTTCGACAAAGCAGGAAAGAATATCCAATGGAAAAAAGACAGTCTCTTCAACAAACAGCGTTGGGAAAATTGGATAGCCACATGCAGAAAAATCAAACTGGACCATTTCTTTATACCACACACAAAAATAGACTCAAAATGGATGAAAGACTTCAATGCGAGACAGGAATCCATCAAAATCACAGGCAACAACCTCTTCGACCTCAGCCACGGCAACTTCTTCCTAGAAACATCGCCAAAGGCAAGGGAAGCAAGGCCAAAAATGAACTCTTGGGACTTCATCAAGATTAAAAGCTTTTGCACAGCGGCGCCTAGGTGGTTCAGTGGGTTAAAGCCTCTGCTTTTGGCTCAGGTCATGATCCCAGGGTCCTGGGATTGAGCCCCACATTGGGCTCTCTGCTCAGCAGGGAGCCTGCTTTCCCCCCTCTCTCTCTGCCTGCCTCTCTGTCTACTTGTGAGCTCTCTCTGTCAAATAAATAAATAAGATCTTTAAAAAAAAAAAAAAAAAAGCTTTTGCACAGCAAAGGAAACACCAGCAAAACCAAAAGACAACTAAAGAATGGGAGAAGAGATTAGCAAATAACATATTAGATAAAGGGCTAGTATCCAAAATCTATAAAGAACTTATCAAACTCACCTTCCAAAGAACAAATAATCCAATCAAGAAATGGGCAGAGGACATGCACAGACATTTCTGCAAAGAAAACATCCAGATGGCTAACAGACACATGAGAAAATGCTCCACATCACTCGGCATCAAGGATATACAAATCAAAAACCACAATAAGATACCACCTCACACCAGTCAGAAAGGCTAAAATTAACAAGTTAGGAAAGGACAGATGTTGGAAAGGATGTGGAGAAAGGGGAACCCTCCTACACTGTTGGTGGGAATGCAAGCTGGTGCAGCCACTCTGGAAAACAGCATGGAAGTCCCTCAAAAAGTTGAATATAGAGGTACCCTACAATCTGGCAATCGCACTACTGAGTACCCTAAAAATACACATTTTTTTCTCCCTGATATGAGGAATTTGAGAGGCAGAGTCGGGGGTTTGTGGAGTAGGGAAGGAAAAAAAATGGAACAAGATGGGATTGGGAGGAAGACAAACCATAAGAGACTCTTAATTTCAGGAAACAAACTGAGGGTTGCTGGAGGGAAGCGGGGGAGTCTGGATGGGGCGGCTGGTTGATGGACACCGGGGAGGGTATATGCTATGGTGGGTGCTGTGAATTGTGTAAGACCAGTGATTCACAGAACTTTACCCCTGAAATTAATAATATATGTTAATAAAAAAAACTAAAAACCTAAAATAAAAAATAAAAACACATAAAAATAAATTTCTATTTCTTCTCTCAGTTCTGATAAGCTACATATTTCAAGGAATGTGTCTATTTCACTTAAGTTATACATTTTAATGGCATTAAATATTCCTAATTTTCCTTTTTATGTCTAGGATCTGGACAGGTAATCCACTTTCATTCATCATATGAGCTATCTCTCTCTCTTCCCCCTCCCTCCCTCTCTCATCTTGCTAAGAATTTATCAACTTTATTAATCTTTTCAAAAAATCAATTTTTTACTGTTTTCATTTTTTTTAAAAATTCAATTAGCCAACATATAGTACATCATTAGTCTCAGATGTAGTGTTCAATGATTTATCAGTTGCATATAACACCCAGTGCTCATCACATCACATGCCCTCCATAATGCCCATCACCCAATTACCCCAATCCCCCATCCATCTCCCCTTCAGTAACCCTCAATTTGTTTCCTATGATTAAAAGTCTCATGGTTTCTCTTCCTCTCTGAAGACTTCCCATTCAGTTTTCCCTCCCTTCCTCTATGATCCTCTGTGCTATTTCCTGTATTCCACATATGAGTAAAACCATATGATAACTATCTTTCTCTGATTGATTTATTTTATTCAGCATAATACCCTCCAGTACATCCACATCAGTGTAAATGATAAGTATTCATCATTTCTGATGGCTGAGTAATATTCTGTTGTGATTATATATCACATCTTCTTTATCCATTCATCTGTCTGTGGACATCTCGGCTCTTTCCAGTTTGGCTATTGTGGACATTGGTATGAATGCTGGGGTGCAGGTGGCCCTTCGGATCACTGCATATATTACAAAGCTGTGACCATCAAGGCGGTATGGTACTGACACAAAAACAGACACATAGATCAATGGAACAGAACAGAGAACCCAGATTTAGACCCTCATTTTCTCTATTTTTTGAGTGTCCTCATTTTATTGATTCCTGCTATCTTTATTATTTCCTTCCATTTACTTGGGGGGAAATTTTAGTCTTTTTCTAGATTCTTGAGATAGAAACTTCATCAGTATTAAGCCTTTCTTCCTTCTAAATTTAAAGTTACAAATTCCCATGTCCTGCTTTAGCTTTATCCCACAAATTTCATTGTTGTAGATGCATTATCCTTTAGTTTAAAATATTTTCTAATTTTTCTTGTGATTTATCCCTTGATCAGGATATGGGATGGGATGTTTAGAAATAAATTAATTTCAGCATTTAGAGACTTATATAAATATTTTACTAATGTTCATTTCTATTTAATTTGAGACTAGTTTTTTGGTTTGTCTGGTAGTCTGTTTTGGCGAATATGCCATGTACATTTGAAAATATTATATATTCTGCAGTTGTTGTATGTGATGTTTTATGTCAATTAGGTCAAGGTGGCATCAGGTGTTGTTCAGATTTCTAGATCTTTTCTGATTTTATTTTTTGTGCTTTGTTGTTCTTGCAGGCACTGAGAGAGGAATGTTAACATACCTAAGTTTGGCCTCCCTCAGTTTTTGTTTCACCCTTGTGTTAAGTTTCAAGAGTTCTAATTATTATATATTCTTGATATACTGACATTTTCATCATCATGAAATCTTTGTTTCCAGTAATGCTCCATGTTTTGAAGTGTATTTGCTCAGATATTATTTCTTATGCTTATTGTTTGCATAGCATATCATTTTTCCAACCTTTCACTTTTAACCTTTTGTTGTCTTTAAGTATTTCTTTTGTAGACAATGTATGGTTGGGTCCAGCTTTTTTCTATCTGGTCCAACAACCTCTACTTTTGAGCATTTGGTCCATTTATATTTGATTAATAAAGTGGCTGGATTTATGACTATCATGCTTCAACTTGTTTTCTGTTTGTTTTGTCTGTTATTTAGCTTCTTTTCATCTTTTTTCCCTGAATCTATCTGCTATAAGATATCCTGCTGGTTTTGAAGAAGTAGACTGTCTTGTAAGAGGGCCATATGGCTGGTACCTGAAGGTAGACTTTAGGAGCTCAGAGAAAAACCCCACCAATAGTGATCAAGAAAACAGAAAAAAACTTCAGTCCTACAATTGTAAGGAACCAAATTCTTCTAACAACTAGTGATCTTAGAGGAAGACATAGTCTCAGATGAGATCGGTGAGATTCCTTTTTTTTTTTTTAAGATTTTATTTATTTATTTATTTATTTGGGAGAATATGTTTAAGAGAGAGAGAGAGTGTTGTGGGGGACGGCAAGTGAGAGAATCCCAAGAAGACTCCACACTGAATGTGTGGGGTTTGATCCCACAACTCCGAGATCACAACCCAAACTGAAACCGAGAGTCTGACACTCCACAGACTGAGCTACCCAGGCACCCCAGCCTGGTGAGACTCTTAAGTAGAGGACCTGGCTAATCCATACCTGAAACCATGACCCAAAGAACCTGCGAGATGATAAATCTGTATTATTTTAAGCTGCGAGGTTTACAATAATTTGTTACACAGCAGTAAGAAAGTAATACATACAGAAATAGAATCTACTCAAGATAAAGCATAGAAATTAAATAGGCTAAAAATAATAATGAACAGAGCCTCAGCAACCTATGGGATAGTATCAAACTTTCTAGCGTCTATATAAGTGGAATCCCAGAAGAAAATAGGAGCATGAAAAAATAAAGACTGAAAATTGATCCAATCTGATGAAAATTATACTAAGAGTTGAGCAAACCCCAAGCAGGATAGATACACACATATACACACAAACGCATACACACACACACACACACACACACACACACACCCAAGGTAAACCATAATCAAACTATTAAAAATCAGTAATAAAAGGAGCAATCTTAAAAGCAGCTAGAGAAAAATGACATATTACAAGCAGAAGAACAAAGATAAAATGGGGGACTTTTTTTGTTCAAGACTTTTCCTAAGAAACTATATAAGGCAGAAGACAAAGGACTGACTTCATTAGTGTGCTGAGAAATACACCCTAAAGCTAGAAAGCTGACAAATGCCTCATGGTGGCAGCAGCTGCAGCAGTACGTGTCTGTCCTAGAGGCTGTCATGGTGCAAGATGGGACACTGTGCTTGCTTAGTGTCTGAGGCGCTATTCTCTTCAGCCTCAAGGGACCTGGGATGTGGTTTTAGCTTCAGTCTTCCTTGTTCCTCCAAAGCTTTCTCTCCCATCTATACTTTTGTCACCATTTCTATGTTTTGTTTATTTATTTGTTTCCATTTCTTGGCTCTATTACTGTTACAATCTGAATTTTGGGCCCCACCCAAGTTCACATGTTGAAGCCTCAATCCCCAATACTTCAAAATCTGACTATGGTTGGAAATAAGGCCTTTGAAGAAGTGCTTGAAATGAAGCCTAAAACAATCTGTTGGAGAAAAGAAAATCTGAACACACTGAGAGGCACTTGGTGTGTGAGTGCACGGAGGAAAGGCTGTACGAGCAAACAGGAAGAAGATGGCCACGTGCAAGCCAAGAAAGGCCTCAGAAAAACCAAACATGCTGACACACTGATCTTGGACTTCTAGCCTAGAGAAATAAGAATATAAATTTCTGTTGTTTAAGCCATACAATTTCTTGTACTCAGAGAAGCCCTGCTTTACTAATACAACTACTGAAAATCACAAGATAGCTAGGCTAAAGCCTTCAGACTTCTTAACAGCCAGTAGAATGATCTTAAAAATCCATGTAACTCAGAGTTACTTGAGATCTTTTGGCTCCTAAGAGATTTGGATGACCTTAGTCTGAAACTTCAGCTTCACAATATGCAAGACTATTGCTCTCCATTTAATTTATTCACCTTTCTGAACTTATTTTTTCATGGTCGCTATGGATCCATTCCTGCAACTCTAAGCATTTCATCAGTTCAACCCTCTGCCAGCTGGTGCATGGCATTTCAGGATCTTTACCACTACCCATAAGAAATTAAATTAATTCATGATTAATTTAATTTAATTTAATTATCATAGATTAATGACTGCACCAACCTTACCTAAGCCTCCAGGAGCTGTGGAAGATATCTATCATATATTGCCCAGTCCTTTCTCTCCTAATTCATTTTCCTTTGACAATGCACTAGCTTCCCAACCACTCACTGACTGTGTGATTATCCCCGCAACCTCCTGAAAAACAAAATCTAGCTTTCCTTCCCCTCGCTGGGCCTATCTTACTTCCTTAGCCCCTGAGTTACTCTGCTAAATAACAGGTATTCTGTTATTCCATCCCTTCACACAAAAATCTAAGCACATTGCTCTCTTGTTTGAAGCTCATTTGCTATCCCTTGATTGCTTCTGTGCAGAGCATGGACTCTAGTCCAGTATTTTAGGATCTCTGCAGTTTTCTCCCTCCACTCTCCAACATACATCACCTATAGGTGAAGCCCATAAAGCTCTAATGGGCATGACAACTACTTTGATAGTTGGAGCTTGGTGCCTGCCCCAATGGTGTCAGCTATCAACTTTTGCCTGCTTCCTCATTGTTCGTTGGGGGCCAGCCCCTCTCTCTTTGGGCCACCCTCCATGACAGCTTTTGTGTAATCTTTAGCCCTTCTTAGAGTGCCTAGCACCAAGGGGGTACTCAATAACCAACTGTGTGATGAATTAAGATATTTACAAGTGAACAAATACCTATGCTCAAAAATCTTCCAAGGAGACTTACTGCCAAAGGATAAAGTCCAAAGTGAAGCCTGATGTCAAGTCCTCCAACCTACAATTCCCAGCTTCCCACTGGTCCCCACCTCCCACTTTGCCCAGACTCTCTCAGCTCTTCTCAGAGAAATGAAAAGCGGGCTCCATATCCTGGAAGCAGTGGGTAGGGATGAAGAGATAGGAGTAGGGCAGACCTGAATTTACCTGTGTGAATGCTGGCATTATCAATCATTTCTTTTTTGTGCTCTCTCCACCTGGAAGGAAAGAGACTATTCATGAGTCTCAGAGACCTCTTCCAAAAAAGACAATAATCTAAGGCAGTGGTCAGAAAAGAAACATAATGTGGTCAAATTCTCATCTAAGTACAGGGTTTATACTTTCCTCTTTAAAGGATAACCCACGAATGATGAAATGATGCATGTGAGGAGGTCTGAAAAACAATCGTCTCCTCTAGCTAAAATTCTTCTCCCTGGATGTTCCCTTTGCCACCCTGAATCTTGCAATACTGTAACATTTGCCTTGCAGGATTCTCAAATGTCATCTTCTTGGACAGATAATAAGACTATAGCCTAGAAAGAGACAGTGATTTTCCAGGGCCACCCAGTAACTAAGGGACAAAGCCAGGACTAAAACCCAGGCTTCCCAGTTTGTGAACTTGCTTTGTTTCACAGAAGGTGGGAAGATAAGGCACTTGTTCTGCACAACCTCTAACCTTTGGCCTTTTCCAACTGGTCTACAATGAATCTGTAGTAATAGCATTTGACCAGGCCTTACTGAGAGTCCTTATCCTTAGAATATTGTCCTGTGTTGAGGTACAAAGCTTGTGAGGAGGTACAGACAGCACAAGAAGTAATGAGAGATTCAGATTATAAACTGTCTTCCTGAGAGCTTGCCCTGTGGGATTACAGGAAGAATCTAAGTGTTTTTTCTGAACTTTCCATAAGAACCAATTACACTTTTATCTTGGGAAAATTTCATTTAAAATTGCAAATATAGGCTTACCAATGAAAATAAAATACGGTAACAATGAGAACCGCAGAAACACTATCCATGAGAAGCCACATAAACATATAGTAACCTGGTGTCTGCAAAATAGAAAACAAAACAGTTTTAAAAAAACAATTGGAAGGGATTTTAGATCAAAAGGGTCAAGTCCCTTTGCTCTGCTGCCAGGGCTGGGGGGAGGGCAGAGCAGGTGGAAGAACTCTGATGTGGTGGTCTCGAATAGAGAGTACCTACTCATAACCTAACAATCACCCTTTATAAGTGCAGGGAACTCTAGAAGGGACAAACAATTCGTATCCTTCATCTCCCTTAACACTCAAATACAGAGGAGTCCCAGAGCAACATAGCAAGTCTATTCTGGACCCAGGACTACAGCCCAAGTTTCTTGAGTTCCACTGCTCTATGCTTTCATAGTATGGCTTCCCCAACCTGTCTGCACATCCATATCTACCTGGGCAGCTTTTAGTAATACAGGGTCACAGGTCCACTACATACCATATGAATTAGAATTTCTGCATTTTGAACAAGCTTCCCAGGTGATGCTGAAGCAACTAGTCTGTGAACCAGCATCTAGGAATTTTTGTTCTAAAACATCATGCTTCAAATAAGTATGCTGAAATTATAACTCTCCCTTAGCTAACATGCCCCCTTCTCCATGTTCCTTTGCCTGAATCTCCCAGAACTTCATCTCCTGGGTCCTCTTCTATGAGCTTTATAATTAACTGATTTGATCCTCCCTTTCCACCTCCACTGTTATCTAACGCCCCCGGGCCTGGCACTTTTTGCTTTTTCTTGAGCCTCTCCTCAGCCTATCCCAAGGTCTTTCCATGAGCTGAATAATAACACTAAGAGTCATAATAACACTAATGGTCATAATGACAACAACTAACAATTAACAACAACGACAACAATTAATGAGCATCCACAAGAGCTAAGGAAGCATTCTAAGGGCTTAAAGGGTGTTTTTACATCCCATCCTCACAAGAGCCCCACTAAGCAGGTACAATAGAAGTTCTTAGCCAACATCCATTAAACTCGGGCTCTTTTTAAAAATTAATTTATTTACTTGAGAGAGAGAGAGTGGAGAGGCAGAGAGAAGCAGACTCCCCACTGGGCAGGGAGCCCAATGTGGGACTCAATCCCAGGACCCTGAGATCATGACCTGAGTAAAAGGCAGATGCTTAACTGAGTGAGCCACCCAGGTGCCCCTAAACTCTTAATCCCTCCCCTCTGGGAAAGAGTGACTGATAGCCTGACCTGCTCCAGGAATTCCCAGCAGGTGAGCTGTCCATTTACTAAGAATCAATCATTCTTGCTCCCTGAAATGGCTTAGAACAGTCTACTTGTTACAACTGTACAGTGTAATTAAATGTTACTCAAATCTGTAAATCTAAGTGAAAAAGAGGTACATCATTTTCCAGAAAACTAAGCCAATGCTTTGGAAAACCCAGCAAAGACAGAAGAGATTAAAAAATAAACTACAACTGAATGAGGTGTGAGTGAGACACTGTAAGAGACTGGGGATAAGAGGATTATGAAAATCTCAGTGAATCCCTCATTCTGATTGTTTCTTTCAATGACTTTATGTTCTTATTCTGCTTGAAAGAAACAAAACTTAGAAATCATAGCTGGTTCATTTGGGTGTTGAAATAAACAAATGACTATAGAATTCCACCAGCTTAAGTACCCTCAAAGACCCTGACTTTATGCTATAAAGTAAATGAATATTTTAAATTAAAATGTGTGAGGTATTTATGTGATAGATTGTTTATAAAAATGACAGTATTCCTCCCAAAATGCAGGCCTGTATACAGGTGTGACTTTGTTGTTCCTCCCCATCAATGCATGAAGTCTTTCTCTCCTACCCTACCTTGAATCCGGACTTGGCCATGTAATTTGCTTTGGCCAATGGAACATTAACAAAAAATCACACCTGGGAAACCTTGAAAACTGTACTGCATTGGGGCTTTACCTCTCTTCCTCGCTGGGAACCCATTGCCACCAAGTGAACGTGCTCAAGCTGGCCTCCTTGATGGTGAGTGATCACACAGACCCCAGGCAATCCAGGTAAGAACCTAGACATATGGATGCACCCACCCTACACCAAGCTGGCTCTGACCACAGGACCATGTAGCCATCACAAAGAATATGACAAAGAAATATTTGTTGTTTTAAGGCCCTACATTTCAGATGGGTTAAGTACTAAAAGCCGACAGATTGTAAACACACACACACACACACACACACACACACACACACACACGTATCTATCTATGATTCCCCACTTTAACTTTTTCAATTAACAGACCAATGATCAGATTAAACTGTGAGAGATACAAGTACTTCTGTTGTACTATCATTATTCATAATTTAATAATAAACAGAGGCATGGACAAGCTAACTAACATTTCCAAGTTCACACAGTAAGGGGTAGAGCCAAGACTTAAATCTGCATATTCTAACTCCAAAACGTGAGCTGCTTGAGAAAGCCCTGAGGACACTTACTGGTCTCACCTTCCTGAAAAAGGTGACCCTAGGTCCTATAGAAAAGCCACAGCCAGGTATAGAAGAAAATATTTTTTAACTTTATATCCTTCTATACTTTTAAAATTTTGAATCACATGAATTATTTCAAACAGTATGAATTTAAGTATTAAAATAAAAAGCTTTATTTAATAAAGCTTCATTTAATATATCCAAAGGCACAACTGTGAGACATTACTGACTTAGGGGGATAGGATTATGGGGGGGGGTGTTGTTTTCCGGTTTATTTATTTTTATAATGACTGAATTTCATATAATGAACAGGCTTACTTTGTGATCAATTTTAAAAAACAAAATCTTAGAAAAATATATAGTACACATATGAAGGAAAATTACATGAGGACAGAGAAGTAGAAAGGCTTCACTTAGCCAAGAGACCTGCGATGAAGGTTTTCTTCAGGGTTGTCTCCACAAAGTTGCCCAAGCCAGCGAGAAAAAAGGTGTTGTAATTTTACACTGCCACCACAGGGCTTGGCTCTATGAGATTGTGCCCTGACCCTGATTCCCTTTCTCCTGGTCCTGACCCGAAACAAGGGCTAGTGAGGCCAGAGGTATGGAGAAGACAGCCTGAAATATTTATGCTTCTCATTTGGGCTTCTCTGCCTAAAGATTTACCTTTTAAAACAGCTTGGAATATTTTCAACTAGACACTTCCACTCTGAGGTGAGACTTTTTGGTGACTGGAAGTGAAATCTTCAAGTTATCTAAAAATGACTAGAAAATTTACAGGACCTGAGTAAGATTTCATTCAGGAGCAGGGAAAGTCTAGCTCAGAGAGAAGTTTAAACAGTCAATGAAAAAAAGTTATTTTCTGTTGTATACTGTTGTGTCTGGCTCAGTCAAGATACTCTACACAGATAAGAGCTCTGTAGTAGGGGCGCCTGGGTGGCTACGTTGGTTAAGCCTTTACCTTTGGCTCTGGATTCCTGGGATGGAGCCCTGTGTTGGGCTCCCTGCTCATCAGGGAGTCTGCTTCTCCCTATCCCATTCCCTCTGCTTGTGTGTTCTCTCTCTCTTTTTCTGTGTCAAATAAGTAAATAAACATCTTAAAAAAAAAAAAAGAGCTCTGTAGCAGTTAACTGGTTATCCAGGGGTGCGTCCACAGATAATAAATGATAAGATTTTAGCTGTGATTATGACTCACGTGTTCAGGTCCTTACATTTCTGGCAATAAGCAGCATCAGGGCTAGGAGGAGCAATCAAGGAAGGTAGGCTGGACACTATCTTTTTTCTTTTTCTTTTTTTTTTTTTTTTTTAATATTATTTACTTATTTTGAAAGAAAAGATGGAAGCAGAGGGAGGGGCAGAGGGACAGAGAGAATCTCACCCAGACTCCACGCTGAGCTGGGAGCCTGACATGGGGCTCAAATCTCATGACCCTGAGACTGGATTCCTGGGATGGAGCCAAGCTGTTTTAAAAGGTAAATCTTTAGGCAGAGAAGCCCAAATGAGAAGCATAAATATTTCAGGCTGTCTTCTCCATACCTCTGGCCTCACTAGCCCTTGTTTCGGGTCAGGACCAGGAGAAAGGGAATCAGGGTCAGGGCTTTCCTTTTCAAAACCATTTTGTTCAGGACACAAAGTTTTCACTTTGAGTCAGATATACTTGGTTTTCTCCCCACAGTCCATGCCACTGTCATTGTCATGCCTCTAGAAAGGCAGGCTTCTGTAACAAAACTCTGGAATCAAACCTCATTCTGAATCTTGCCTCATGTGACTATGTCTAAGAATGTTAACGTCATCAAACTTCAGTTTCTTCATAGGAATAATAAAAATGAGTAACTCAGAGGGTCAAATTACATAATGCATGAAAAACACATTGTGAAGATTCAATAAACGACAATATTATAACAATACTAATTTCTTTCTGCAAACTACAGAAGGATGTGGGTGAGAGAAGGGAGAATGTCTCATCTCCACCATCATAGAAGTCTCTGCTATTAAGTAGCTCCCAAGAGGCCTGTACAGTGGACAATATAGGGGTAGGGTAAGGGACTTAGACTCCTACTGTACAAGGCTTGAAAGAACAACCTGTATAGCCAGCTCACCATGAGGAAGTAAGGCTGATCTAGCTGACTCAGGATGTGAATGTTGTCTGTGGTCACTGAGTGAATCTTGGAGCACCAGGCCAGTGAGTAGAGCCAAGGTTCATTGACAAGGTACAAGTTGATTTTGATGTTAGCTGCTTTATAATCTCTGGAATAAAAACAGAACCCACAGGGAATTTAGACTTAATCTCGCTTTCCTCATCTAAAAGGGTAACGGCCACCATGTTTGTGAGAGGCTGCTGCTTAAATCACTAGAAGCAGCTGGTCCTGTGACAACTTATGATAATGCAGAATGGGCTTGTGTTGCAATGAGGTAAAGGACTGGACTTAATACCTCTGCTCCTGTACCAAAATGGTATGTCAGTAAACTGAATGTCCTGATGGGAGAAAAGAAAGAAAGTAGGAAAAAAAAGAGAAAGCGCTATTTGTAGCATTTGCCGATTTCCATGGTATAAATACTCCTACCATAGCCAATTTTAAGCTACCACTAGTAAAACGGATTTGCAAAGTTTCCATTTAATAACTGACTTCTGTGTGCTGCCATAAGCCAGCTCCAGCACACTACTGTGTAGCAACTATACCTTCATCAGAGCACTTACCGTCCTCTATTGTATTTATCTGCTTTCCTGATAGTCTTCTTTACTTGGCTATAGTCAAATTAAAAGTAGAGAGTAATGTATAATTCATCTCTGTATATCTAGTACCTAGCATAGTACCTACCTTCATAAATGGTAAATGAAAGAATGAATAAATGGATACCAATCTGGTGAAAATTTAAATTTCAAATACAAAAAAATCTTTATAAGCACTGAGTAAAGACAATGAAATCAAACATTTCCCAATGCACAAAATGTTAGCAGATACTTGTACATTCCCTATAGAGAAAAGAAAAATAAGTATTGAAATACCTAGCAAGTCTAGTCTAGATATCACTTTTAGGAATCAAATTTCTTACAAAATATATCATGTAAATGCTTTAAACATTTTTTTTTAAAGATTTATTTATTTGACAGAGAGAGAGAGAGAGATCACAAGTAGGCAAAGAGGCAGGCCGGGGGGGGGGGGGGGTAAGCAGGCCCCCTGCTGAGCAAGGAGCAAGCAAAAAAAAATTTTTTTTTAACCTGAGATAGTATATAGCTCTGTATAAGCTTGGGTTTGAATCTCACCTTTGCCATATACTAACCTGGTAAATTTTCAGGTTCAAAGTATAAACTATAAATAACAATACTGCCTTTGCATGAGTGTTTACAATTAGTTATCCAGTATGTTAGAATGGTCTCTAAGACAATTCTACAAATCACCTACAGATAAATAAAAAAAACAGAAAAAGGAAATAGTAATAAAAAGCTACTTTTTAAACTTTTAAACCAATACATAAAAATCAATCACATTTACATATTAATAATGAATACATGCAAACTAAAATATCAAAAACACAACATCATTAACAATTCACAAAGAAAATATAATACTGTGGTATAAACTCAACAAAAGAAGAATAGGATCCATATGCTGAAAACTACAAAGTGCTGATCAAAGTAATGAAAGAATATTTAAAAAAACAGACATGTGTTCATAGACTAGAAGACTCAGTGCTGTAAAGATGTTATTTCTCAAATTGATCTGCAGGCTTAATGCAATTCCTATCACAATCCCAAGGTGTTTTGTACAACTAGGTCAACTGATCCTAAAATTATACGGAGGGGCACCTGGGTGGCTCAGTTAAGCGCCTGCCTTTGGCTCAGGTCATGACCCCTGGGTCCTGGGATCAAGTTCCGTATCTGGCTCTCTTTCACTTGCTCTCTCCCTCTCTCTCAAATAAACAAATGAAATCTTTAAAAATAAAATAAAATTATATGGAAAGACAGAACCCCAAAATAAAACAAAGAAGAAGAAGTGAGATGGAGTGTACCTAATTTTAAGGCTTATATATAGCTACAGTAATCAAGACAGTGTAGTTTTAGAGAAGGGATAAGCACACAGACCAATAGAACATAATTTCAAACCCAGAAACAAACCCACACAAATATGCCCAAATGATTTTTTTTACAAAGGTGAAGAAGAAGGAATTCAATGGAATAAGGACAGTTTCTCCAACAAATGGTAGCAGAGAAACTGGATAGGCATAGGCAAAAAAACTCCCCAAAAAACAAAAAACCTCGAGATATACCATATACTTTATATAAAAATTAATTCAAGATAGATTACAAGCTTAAATATATAAAACTATATAAAATATATAAAACTACTTTCAAGGAAAAAAAACTATAAAAGAAAATCTTTGAGTTCTGAGGGTTAGACTAAGAGCTCTTAGACTTGAACTAAAAACATGACCCATAAAAGGGAAAACTGATATGCTAGTCCTCATCAAAATTAAAAAACTTTTGCTCTCTGGAAGACCCTGTTAAGAGGATCCTACAGACCCTGCACACTAGCCATACACTGTGACAAAATATTTGCAAACCACAGTTCCAACAAAGGACTAGTTTTTATAATATTTAAAGAACTCCAAGTAAGACAAACTCAAAGAAACTCACATTTCAAAAGACACTCACCAAACTTTCAAAAGACAAAGACAAAGAAAGAATCTTGAAAGCACCAAGGAAAAAGCACCTTGTCACAGACAAGGAATCCTCAATGAAGTTATCCCCAGATTTCTCATCAGGAACTCTGGAGGCCAGAAAGCAACAGGTCTACATATTCCAAGTGTTAAAAGAAAACAAACAAACAAACAAAATATAAACCAGACTCTTATTGCAAAAAACAAAACAAAACAAAACAAAAAAAACCTGTCCTTGAAAAATGAGGGGGTAAATTAAGGCATTCCCAGATAATCTGAGGGAGTTTGTGGCCACTAGACCTACCCTGCAAGAAAAGCTCAAAGGAGTCCTGCAAGGTGAAAGGATGGGGTACTAGACAGTAATTTAAAGCTGTATGGAGAAAGATCTCAATAAAAGTAAATATATGGGCAAATGTAAAGCCTAGTATTATTATAACAATGCATCTAAAGGTGAAACAATTAGTCTAAAAGATAGTATCCCTGCCATTTTGGTTTTTAACTCCACACATAGTTTCCTATGAAACTCAATTTCCTATGAATCTCAAATTAAGAGATTAATGCATTTAAAAGAATTACTAACTTATGTTCTGGAGAACACCATATATAAAGATGTAATTTTCTGCTATCAACAACCAGAAGAGGTAAGAATGAAGCTGTAAAGGAGCAGAGTTTTGGTATGTTATTGAAATTGAGTTGGTATAAATTCAAATCAGAGTGTTATAACTTTAGGATGTTAAATATAATTCCCATGGTAACCACAAAGAAAAGAGGTATAGAATACATACAAAAAGAAATAAGAAAAAGATTTAAACATTTCACTACCAAAAAAATCAACTAAACACACATACATAAAATAGTATTACAGGAAATAGGGACACAAAAGTTAAAAAGGCACATAGAAATAACAGTAAGAGATGACAGGAACAAAATAATAAATATTTACAGAAATGACAAAAGTAACAAAATGATGTAAGTTCCTCCTTCTCAGTAATTATTTTAAATGTAAATGGATTAATCTCTACAACCAACACTGGCAGAATAAATAAACACATATGACCCAACTATATGCTTTCTTCAAGAAACTCATTTTAGGAAGTACTGAGGGAGGAGTCAAGATGGCGGAGAAGTAGCAGGCTGAGACTACTTCAGGTAGCGGGAGATCAGCTAGATAGCTTATCTGAAGATTGCAAACACCTACAAATCCAACGGGAGATCGAAGAGAAGAAGAACAGCAATTCTAGAAACAGAAAATCAACCACTTTCTGAAAGGTAGGACTGGTGGAGAAGTGAATCCAAAGCGACGGGAAGATAGACCGCGGGGGGAGGGGCTGGCTCCCGGCAAGCGGCGGAGCAACGGAGCACAAAATCAGGACTTTTAAAAGTCTGTTCCGCTGAGGGACATCGCTCCAGAGGATAAACTGGGGTGAAGTGCACGCGGGGTCAGTGTGGCCTCAGGTCCCGCAGGGTCACAGAAGGATCGGGGGTGTCTGAGTGTCGCAGAGCTTACAGGTATTAGAACAGGGAAGCCGGCTACAGAGACAGAGCCGAGGAGTGAGCTCTAAGCTCGGGTTTACCTTGAACCGGTCTCAGGCTCGGTCAGCTCGGAGCGCGGATGGAGGCCAGGGTGACGGGAGCAATTGGGCGCTGTTCTCTGAGGGCGCACTGAGGAGTGGGGCCCCAGACTCTCAGCTCCTCCGGGCCAGAGATTGGGAGGCCGCCATCTTCCTTCCCGTCCTCCAGAACTCTACGGAGGGCGCTCAGGGAACAAAAGCTCCCAAAAGCAAACCCGAGCGGATTATTCAGCCCGGCCCCTGGTAAGGGCGGTGCAACTCCGCCTGGGGCAAAGACACTTGAGAATCACTATAACAGGCCCCTCCCCCAGAAGATCAACAAGAAACCCAGCCAGGACCAAGTTCACCTACCAAGGAGTGCAGTTTCAATACCAAGGAGAGCAGCGGAATTCCAGAGGAGGAGAAAGCAAAACATGGAACTCATGGCTTTCTCCCCATGATTCTTTAGCCTTGCAGTTAATTTAATTTTTTTTTCTTTTTCAGTTTTTTTTTCTCTTCTTCTGCTAAATTTTTTTAACTGTTACCCTTTTCTTTTTTAACGTTTTTTAACTAGTTTATCTAATATATATATATTTATTTTTTCCTTTTTATATTTTTTCATTATTGGTTTTCTTTTTTTTTTCTTTTTTTCTTTTTTTTTTTTTTATTTTTTTCTTTCTGAACCTCTTTATATCCCCTTCCCCCCACCTCACGATTTGGGTTCTCTTCTGATTTGGCTAAAGCATATTTTCCTGGGGTTGTTGCCACACTTTTAGTATTTCACTTGTTCCTTCATATATTCTTATCTGGACAAAATGACAAGGCAGAAAAATTCACCACAAAAAAAAGAACAAGAGGCAGTACCAAAGGCTAGGGACCTAATCAATACAGACATTGGTAATATGTCAGATCTAGAGTTCAGAATGATGATTCTCAAGGTTCTAGCCGGGCTCGAAAAAGGCATGGAAGATATTAGAGAAACCCTCTCGGGAGATATAAAAGCCCTTTCTGGAGAAATAAAAGAACTAAAATCTAATC